AAGTCATTTTAATTATATTTATTTTCTTATAAATTTTAATAAATAGTTATTTAAAAAAAAATAATAAATACTTTTGTTTTGACAGATGTTTGCAGCATATGCACAATCCTGTTCAATTTGACTCTGTTCAACTTCAGCCTCAGTTTGAGTTGACCTATGCTGAATACACAGCTGAGGTGTCTGTGTCTCCATTGGAAAACGAGTCTCACAGAAAGACTATAGAGACTGACTAACAACTTGATGCGTCAGTTGTTTGTGACGAAGAAGACTATCAAATTCTTAGCCATATCTATCGCTTCCTCCTTGCGTTGCTCGAGGACCACCTTCGCGATGGAGAGAGCCTCTAATATGTTAGAAGTGGATTCACTAAGCTAAATTAGTGCTGCAGACAGGTACTCAATATCACCATTCAACTATAACACCTCACACATTAGCTTGTCAATCCTTATCACTTTTTCTTTGCGTTTGCAATCCATCACTTTCTCCTTGCGTTGCTTGAGGGCATCCCGAGTATCGGAGATGGCATACATTACAGGATCTGATACCATGTTATAATCTAGACGCCACCAAAGTGGATCGAACGTGCCCTGATACAGACTCTGATATCATATTATAATCTAGACACCATCAAAGTGGACCAAACATGTTCTGATACAGGTACTGATAGCATTTTATAATCTAGACACCACCAAAATTGACCAAACTTGTTCTGATACAGATACTGATATCATGTTATAATCTAGACGATACTAAAGTGGACCAAACAAGCTCTGATACCACGTTATAACCTAAGATTGGGTCCTAGGTGAGTACTAAATTAATGCAATGATTCATTGCAGGCAATGGAAGCAGCCGACAAAAAGATTAAGAAGCATTGGATACTTTAATGGGTTTTAAGGAAATGGGGATGGAAAGACCTGGAGAATGTAATGGTTGGGCCCATGAGCATAATTGTTGAAGCCAAAGAGTCTCTCAAGGAGATGGAGACCGAGCTGAATAAGGTATATATTAGTTCTTTTTATAATGTTTTGTCTTATTAATTTTAAATTTTAATAAATAATTTGAGTTTCTTTTTATAGATTCTCAAAGAAGATGATGCTATGATTGCTATATTGGGGACGATATATAGTTTAAAAAGTCATTTTATAATTATATTTATTTTCTTTTAAATTTTAATAAATAATTATTTTTTAAAAAAATTTAATAATAAATACTTTTGTTTTGACAGATGTTTGCAGGATATGCACAATCCCTGTTCAATCTGAGTCTGCTCAATCCCAGCCTCAGTCTGAGTTGACCTATGCTGAATACGTAGCTGATGTTTCTACATTGAAAAACAAGTCTCACAGAAAGACTATGGAGATTAACAACCTGATATGTCAGTTGTTTGGGACGAGAAAGACTATCAAATTCTTAGCCATATCTATGGCTTCATCGTTGCTCGAGGGCCACCTTCGCGTTGGAGAGAGCCTCTAATACGTTAGAAGTGGATTCACTAAGCTTAATTAGTGCCACAGACATGTACTCAATATCACCATTCAACTCTAACATCTCACACATTAGCTTGTCAATCCTCATCACTTTCTCTTTGCGTTTGCAATCCATCACTTTCTCCTTGCGTTGCTTGAGGGCATCCCGTGCTGCGGAGATGGCCTACAATACATGCTCTGATACCATATTATAATCTAGACGCCATCAAAGTGGATCGAACGTGTCCTGATACAGACTCTGATACCATATTATAATCTAGACATCACCAAAGGAGACAAAACATGTTCTGATGCAGGTACTGATAGCATTTTATAATCTAGACACCACCAAAGTTGACCAAACATGTTCTGATACAGGTACTGATATCATGTTATAATCTAGACGCTACCAAAGTGAACCGAACATGTTCTGATACAGGCTCTCTGATACCATGTTATATTCATTTTCTTTTAAATTTTAATAAATACTTTTGTTTTGACAGATGTTTGCAGGATATGCACAACCCCTGTTCAATCTGAGTCTGTTCAACCCCATGAGCAATTATTCATATCAATTGTAGAACGGATTAGCCGAGGGTGGAGAAGGGTTGGGTTGGGTTTTGAGTGTTTGGTCGTGCCTACAATACAGGCTCTGATACCATGTTATAATCTAGACGCCACCAAAGTGGATCGAACGTGCCCTGATAGCAGCTCAAGAGCGTCCCGAGCCGCAGTGAGGGACGTAAATAATTTGGACAGAGATCCAATCATGTCTTTCAATTTCGCGGAGTGAATCTGCATACCCTTCCTCGTCACTATCAGCTGATACAGTAAATTGCTAATTTCCATGTTCCTTCTATTAAATTTGCTTTCAAATGGATAAATCTGAGCCACATACTTATCAAAATGTCAACTCAGTCCGAGACACAGGTTCACCAGATTCAACACACTTAGAGGGTTCACCAGATTCAACAGACTTAGACTCAGATTGCGAGGATTTTGTATATTCTGCGTACATCTGTTGAAAAAAGTATTTAATATGGAAGACCCTTTCTAATATTTTGTCAATTATTACCAACTTGGTTAGAAGGAGAGTAGAGATTCCTAATATTTGCCCGCCTTGTGGAGTTTGTGAGGAGGATATTATGCATATTTTATGCACTTGTATTTATGCTAGTATGCTAGACGTGTGTGGAATGTTTCACGTCTTCTTATCCCTAACGTTGATGGTTATGATTTTATGCAGTCGGTGGAGGCTTGGTTGGGAAGCTCAGCAATATCTGCTGGGTTTCTAAAAGAACAGATATGTGGAATACTCTACGAAATTTGGAGAGCTCGGAATATGGCTGTTTGGGATTTTGTTCTACCGACCCCCTCGCATCTATGTCACGGTTTTCACAATACTTGGTCTGCATGGGCATCGAACAACACGCCGGCTGCTCCCTTACAGCCGTCAGCACCGGAGATTACGACTTTGCTGCCGCTGGATGCGGTTTACAGCTACGCTGACGCCGGATTTATCAGCACGTCCCCGACATATGGCTTTTATGTGTGCAACACAGAGGGCGGTTTTGTTGCGGTTGCTAACGGTCCTCTTATATGTCCGTATGATCCTCTCCTAGCTGAAGCCATGGCGATACGAGAAGCCCTATCATGGCTACAAGAGCACAATTATCACAACATTGTGATTTTTTCGGATTGTGCGATCCTTGTTTCTTGCTTTCGCGAAGCGAGTTCCTATCGTTCGTACCTAGGTGTTATCTTAGATTCATGTTTGCATTTATTTCGTTCCTTTCATTCATGCTCCATTAAATTTGTACGCAGAGATGTCAATACGGTAGCTCATGCCTTAGCAAAGCATGTTAGTGCGGTTGATACTCGTAATGTCTGGAGGGATTTTCTTCCTCCCTTTGTTTCTTCTATAGTTTAATGCAATCCGGTTTCCTTAGCTTTCAAAAAAAAAGTATTTATTAATTTATTTTTTAAAAAAAAAACTATAAGCTGATACAGTAAATTGCTAATTTCCATGTTCCTTCTATTAAATTTGCTTTCAAATGGATAAACTTAACCCTAAAGATGACCAGTGCATCCACTGGAAAGCGTGGGATAAATTGTGTATCCCTAAGAAATATGGGAGTTTGGGCTTTAAGGAATTGCGTGCCTTTAATTTAGGCATGTTGGGGAAACAGGCCTGGCGTTTACTCACGAAACCTGAGTCGTTGGTATCAAGAATATTTAAAGCCAGGTATTATCCTAAAGGGCCATTCTTTGATGCTTGTTTAGGGAATAACCCAAGTTTCTGTTTGAGTAGTATCATGGCTGCACAGGAACTAATTTGTGGAGGAGTTAGGCGCAGGATTGGGAATGAAAGGGCAACCCTGATATGGGATCATCCATGGCTTCAGGATGAGAATAATGCGAAAATAATTACTGAAAAACCACCACAGTTGGCACATGCAACAGTTATGAGCTTAATGGATCAGGAAACGGGATCATGGGATCATGACATTTTAACTGATATTTTTATGGAGAGCCTTGAATGATATATTACCCACTACAAAGAACCTGATTATAAAGAGAGTGGAGATTGATCCAACATGTGCTATGTGTGAGATCATGCATGAGGATACTATGCACTCTTTGGTCAAATGTGATTTAGACAATGAACATTTGGGCACAATCTCAACTTCCAATCCCCAATAGTGTCACATATATTTTTCATGTTTGGTTTAATGAAATATTGAATATTTTAGATGATGATGGAATTATTTATGCAGTGGGCCTATTATAATTATATATGGCGAGCGAGAAATGGGGCTGTATGGGATGCATGCTTACCCAGACCACGGAAGATGATTGCTACTGTAACCACAACGGTCCGGGCGTGGCGACTTGCACACCCGGACCGCACGCAGCCGGCAGAACGAGGAACTGTCACGGCAAATGCCGAACAAGCCCAAGGGGCAATCGATCAACCTGCTACTGTTCGGCTTCTAGTCCAGTTGCCAACTGCCGTGGCCGCCGGAAGCCACACGGCCATCCCCTCATCTATAGGCCATGGAGGCATGCGGAACCGATGCTACTTTGATGCGGCGTATTTCCACACCACGAGTAAAGCGACTGTAGGGGCAATCCTCCTAAACAGACAGGGATTGTATATCTCCGCTCTACAGGCACCGATGATAGACTGCTTCTCCCCTCTTATGGCAGAAGAATTAGTTGATTTAGTTATTTCTTCTCGTTATAATTATAATTGTATAGGGTTATAATCATATTTTTATTTTTGATTATCAAATTTGAATTTTTTTATTTATTCTTAATTATTTGTATTTTAAAATATTTTTCACTTTTGGGTGAAGTTGGATGATATTTTAAAAAATGCAAGTATTTTGGGTATTTTAAATTTTAAATTTTAAATTAAGAATAAAAATGTTTTCAAGTTAGAAATTGTAATTTATGGAAAAAATAAATAAATGCTTTTATTGTCGAGACGAACTGTATAAATTTCCTCAGTCCCTTCGACTTTGAATACATTAAACTCACCTACGGTGCTTGCTTTCTCGTAGTACTTCTACTCAGTATGACTGACTAGGAATCCACACAAAAAAAAAAAGAAACTCACCAAAGGTCTGATACTCTGATCTTTCATCTTCTTCTTTTTACTATTTCCTATGTTGTGTGTACATTTCCGATTTTACCTGCTCTCCTTGTGTGTGTGTTTGGCAGATGAAAATACAAAAATATCTTGATTCTTGAAATGGGCAAGCAAAAGGATTGATTTTTATTGGCAAAAATTCTTTTAAAAAATACGGAGTAATTAATTTTGTGGTTATATTTTTGTTGGATTCTGAATTTTCACGCTAGGGATTGTTATAGAAGTGAAAATCAACCTTTTTATGATAAGGCTCTACAAGAAAATTCACGAATTGAGAGGATGGTAGCTATTGTTAGTAGTTCATTTTATATATTTTTAGGTCACCTATTCATAGCTGCTTTTTGAAGGTTCATTCAGTCCTGATATTTTCACTCTCCAATTTTTTTTTTTTTTGTTTTTTGGGTTTGATTACTTTTGGTAAAGGTTTTGTTTAGCACTTTTTTTTGCTATTGTTTTGTTTTGTTTTGTTTCTTCACATTTAGAAAATAGAGTTCCATTACCTGATATATATGTGTATTAATTTTCTTAGTATTCAATGGCAAACCTTGAATTGTGTTATTGGACAGCATGGATTTTTAATTTTTTAATTTTTTTTGGTTGTTGACTTATTTGAGCTTTGAATTACATGTGCAAATGGATTTGATGTCATGGTCTTTAGTTATATTTTTGTGTAGACTATGAGTTCTTTGCCACTTCATGATGGTTGTAAGACATTTATGCACCTATGATGAGACAGGTAAGACATTTATGCACCTATGGTGAGACAGGATCTTTTAGGACAGCACCTCAAGTAGACTATTTGGAAGTGAAGAGCAACAAATGTAAGAGAGAAGGAAAGTAGGAAACAAAGGAAGGGATATCCTAGGAGGCTAGGAATCACATTCAGGTTTCTTAGGCCTTACACATCTGGAAATAGGAATCTCACTTAAGGGACTCCTATGTTTGTTTTCTGTTTGAGGCATATGCATACACCAGTAGAATTAAACATTTCATCCTCAGTTCCCTGTTGTATCTTCTCAGTAATTTCTTAGGTTGAAAACCAGATAACACTATGTGATGTATGAACTGGGAAAAATGTTCTGTTAAAGGGGCCAGGGGATCCTCATATACGCAAATGCAAGTGGTCTTCATCCATGAAAATTGAAAACTATGTGATTTGCTCTTATTTGGTGATCTACTTGTGTTAGGCTCATGCTTTCGATGTTCTTGAATCCTTTTTTACATCTACTTTGCTTAGAAGAACTCAAAGCTGCATACATGGCAACTCTTTGCTATGTATCCTGATGATATATGAGATATCTTTCTTTTTTGAGTGACAAGGAAAACCCACAGCCACTATGTGAGGGTGTGCACTAGGTAAACCCCGCCTTGTGACCCTAGCTGGCAAAGAACCACAAAGAGGTAAACCAACCTAGGTTGTCCATAGCTGACTGGCTCAAACCAAGAAGGCCAATAGGCCGCTCCTACTGGAGTCGAACTTGTAACCTTGTGGTTATCAAGTCAATAGCCCGACCAACCTTGTGATATATCTTTCTTGATTGATGTAACCCATACTTTCAAGTGTTTCTAATTTCTAATGTATATCTGCACTTTAAAGAATAAGGTGGCATCGTAGGTATCAATCTAGTTTATAGTCAGTGAGGTTTGATCTCTCTCTTTTCTTTTTTTTTTTGATAAGTTCAATCCTTTACTAATTGGTACCTTGTTCTAATGCAGCTAATGGATCAAATGGACATTGACTGTGTATTGGTTGTTCCAGACACCCCTACCAGGTTACCTGCAAAGAATGCAGAGTACAGTAGTGGAGTGCACAAGGAGATTGATGCATCCCTGCCTAGTCTTTCAGGACAGGGGAATGTTTCTACTGAACAGCAAAAAACGCAGTTAAACAATGCCACTGGAATCAGAAGATTGTTTATTCATCCTCCAAGAAGGCATGCTTCTAACAATTCCGAGTGTCATGCAAACTCATCCACCTCTGGCACACGTCATCCGTCTTCTTCTTCAAGAATTGATAATTTGTTTGCAAGGAAGGATACGAGTTTCTCCAATTCTGAGGGAAAAGACTCTGGTTGTCTTCAACTTATAAAGAAAGACAGCACAGATTCAAATCCTGGATATTCTTGCAAAGATAGTTTACATCTGATGGAAAAAAGTATGCCTGCTCAAGTACTATCAGGAAGTAGCCAAGGCGAAGGTTTTAGCAAAAGAGAAGTATCAAGTAATGGATTCTCTAACTTACAAAGTATGAGAAGTTCTTCAGAAACAATCAAAGTTGACAAAGAACAATTTGATGATGGGTACAAAGCTGGTTTCAATATGATTAATGGAGTAAGAAAGGAATTTGTTCATGATACACAGCACAATGACAATAAGGATGTATGTGCATCTGTTATTACCTTACCTAGGGTAACTAGACAAAAGAGATTGGTGCGAAATGGATGCATATCTCCACATAACATAGCAAAGGCCAAGAAACCAGTTGGAAGGGACCATAATGATCTTCTTACGGTTAAACAAAATTATTGCAGTTCTGTGTCATCATCTAGCAATTCAGAGAGTCAAATTAATGTTAAAGATTTAGTGTCTGAAGGACATGCTTCAAACACAATGAAGGGAAAAGGGATAATGGCCCATCCTTTTACTTCAACAGGACTGAATGGGAAAAATGGACACACATCTTTCAGGTACATAATGTCATAGTCAGTTAAGGCATGTGGATCCTATCATCACTTTCTTTTTCATCTCTGGCATGCTAACAAGTTATGGCTGACTAGGACAGAGACAGTTGCAGTTGATTTTAGTCATGAAACAAAGGGGTAAAATATGATATAACCATTAAAACCCCAGGTGAATTTAGATGGAATTAGTTGCTGCGAGACTCATTCTCATTCACCAATTAAATTTACACGTACACTTGAGTGTAACTTGCTGTTCCTTTTTCATCTTTCACTGATAACCTGATGCTAGTTTCATATATGATTAGCACTCATGTCATCATTTATTCTTCTAAACAGCTTACATGAACTCTATTTGTGTCTTCAACCCACTTCTGTACTACTTTTGAGTAACTAAAAATTTTCAACATCAATGTTCTTATCATGAGATTTCTCTGTTGTACTTGCAGAAATGTAATTGATGTTGATGAAGAAGTGAGTGAAATCGCTGCTGCCAATCAAGATGCGTTCAGAAGCATTGAAGAATCAGGTGGATGGAGAAGTACACGAAATTGTTATCAGATATCCTTGTCTGATGAGGACCCCCATTTATCCTTGGGGAATGATATTAATGCATGCTCTGAAACTAAGCACAACCAGCACAAACTGCTGAGAAGAGAAAATGGAACTAATGCTCAGAGCCATGATCACTATCCCAATTGTGAGGATTTATCTTCTCATAGATATCCTTCTGCAAGGAATTCCAGTCAGGTGGCCAGACCCCTTGGGCAACAATTAAGCCATATTGATGTGCATCATCCGGTGATAATAACCCCACTTGGTAAAAGGCAAAAGCAGGGATCTACCTCAATTAATAATGCTGAATGTTCCACTTCAGCTTTCAATGATGCAGATATCATATTTAGGGACTCATATAGGGATCCCAATAATAATTCAAGAGAAAATACTAACCAAAACTGTAGCAGAAGAGATAACCTAGAACCAATCATTGATATTGATGATTTATCCCCTCAAGCAACGAATGATGGTTCTAAAGGAGTAGCATGCTGTAGGAGCGATGAAGATGCTAGAGCCAGACAGGTAGAAGCAGATGAAGCACTGGCACTGGAGCTCCAAGAGCAATTATTCAACGAGACGCCTGTTTTTGGAGTTGATAATGAGGTGGTTTCTCTTTTCCCTCTTTTCTTTTGTTTATACATCAGGTGCATGTAGGCAATGACCCTTGGCTTAACTGGTCAAATCCTTCCCCATCCCCTCTGATGTGTATTCTTGAAGTCCATCTCTCTTTTTGTTATGCACTATCTGTATTTGGAATTGGATTTGATCCATTTAACATTTTGAAATAGGTTGATCAGCATGTAGCCAGGGCTTTGCAACAAGAGGATTTTCACCTTTCTTTCTCTGGGGACACACATCATGTAACGCTGAGTTTGATTTTGTTGCATTGTATTGTTTTTGCTTCCCATCCATATATATTCATATCCAACGTCCCAATCATGAAAGTTTAAAATGACTTAGATATGAAGACTTGAAACTCATTCAACAGCTTTTCTACTACAACCCCTGAGGTTAACTGAACCGAAACTTGTTTTGTTTTAGAAAGTAAAGTTATGGCATGACAAAATTGAAAAAAGGGACTAATGTTGGATTTTCGGAACATAAGATGCAAAGATATCATGCTAATGCTTTTATGCACAAAAACTGTAAGTTATAAAACCAATATCTTTGAAGTATCTATAATTAAAGTGATTGGAGCAGCTGTGCCCATGGAAGTGGCATATTTGTTCTTTATTCATTTGTTTATTGAAATGCATTTACATACAATTATTGCTTCCTCAAACTTTTGCCTTAACCTGTAAATATATTTTCCTCGTTCTTTTTATTTGTAGAGAAGCAGATCATTTGCAAATACAAGGCATTCCCAATATCAGTCTTCTGTTAATGCTTCTCGAGGAGCTCCTCGAGCTTCTAACTCTAATAGATTAGCAAGATGGAGGAGCCGTTTTCCTGGACAACCTCGTACACTCTTGCCATCTACTGGGAGAAATTCTATATTTCCTTCTTACATGGATGTTGAGACGGTATTATGCAATTGATCATTTTAGACTATATTTTTATTTGGAATATGTTGAGGAATTAATATAAATACTTAAAGATTAAATTTCCTTTTGTTGATTGACCAGCTGATTATGCTTGTTATATGCATTTAATTTTTTTAATTTTTTTTTTTACCTATAATGGCGGTTGCAATATCTGATAGCATTAAGAAGCTCAACTGACAATAATAAGTGAGGGTAGGTATGAGGAATGTTAAACTAAAATCATTTTTTTTTAAAAAAAAGAAAGAAAATGAAAAGAGTGAACAGGAATCTGTTGGGCAAAGTCATATTGTAAACTAAGAGAAAGTTATCTTAAAAACTAAGATCTTTGGCCACATTGACCGTTAAAATAACTTGTCATGACTATTAAGAAAGGAGTTCAAAGCTTGTGACTTTTAATGGAAGTATAAGATCCCTACTATCCTCTTCTCCTAGCCTAAGATGCTGGATAATAACGATGTTATATTTGCTCATTTTCATTTCTGTATTTTATTTTATTTTTTTTCAAAACTTGTTTTGCTAATTGATATATGTACTATTGAATTTTTTTTCCATTTTATTCAGAGAATGGAAGTATTGGAAACACTTGAGGCTTTTAGTAATATGGGAGTACATGGTGATTTCCTTCAAACTCAGCGCGACTTCAATGAGTAAGATATCTTCCATAGCCATTTAATATCGTGAAATGAGAGCTCATCCCTCGGTGTAGTTATTTATTTTCTTTTCTTGATTTAGAAACGACTATGAGATGTTGTTGGCACTTGATGAGAACAATCACCAGCATGCCGGGGCATCAATGCATCAAATTAATGGTTTGCCAGAGTCGACTGTTCAGGTGACTTGGAATCTTCAGATTTCTGACTTTCTCTCGTTTTTTTTTTTTTTTTTTTTTAACATTTTTATTAACCTTCATACCTGAGATTCTTCGCTGGGATCTGAGCAATAGATATACGGTAATTATGATGCAGGGGAGGGATTATTTGTTATTGGATTTGAAATTTAGCTAGTTATGTTCCATGCAGAATGAGAATCTCGAAGAAGCGTGCTCTATATGTCTCGAAAATCCAACAATGGGGGACACCATCCGCCATCTCCCTTGCTTACACAAGTTCCACAAAGATGTAGGGAACCCTTCACCCTTTTTATGATCTATAACGAAAATTTTACAGGCTAAATGTTCTTCGGTTCGTGCAGTGCATCGACCCATGGCTGCAAAGACGATCGTCCTGCCCGGTCTGCAAGTCGTCCATCGCTTGATTGCGGGTAAAGACTCGAGAGGACTCTTGTGTGTGTTATTCCATTTATCAGCATTTTGTTTTTACGGCTCCATGATGCGTCGTACTCTCTAAGGCAGAACGTAAAATCGCATCAATGAAACTCCATCTTCATGCCCAGAAAATGGTGGTTGTTGGCCACACATCCTATGATCAGATTTGGCCATTTTGGCTAGATTTTGGTATATTAGTGGATACTCAAAAATAGAAGATTGGGAGTAGGGGTGTTTGAGTAATTTTACTATATTAAATTTCTATTTCTACTCAACATATAGTCAGTAATGTACTATGTTTCATTATATTAATTTTTATGAATATTCTGACCTCTATGGCTCTATGACAAGCATAACATACAAATGCATGCTTATTTTGTAGCTTGGAATAAGGACAAATAAGTCATTGAACTACTTGAAAAAATGTCTAAATTACAAAAAATGCAATTAAAAATAGTATTATTAATTTCATTTGTAATATTATAAAAATTATATAATAATATAATTAATTATAAAAATCAAATTATTATTCCTATTACTATTTAAAAAAAAAAAAACTTAAAGTGATCCTAATTTTGTCGAACTAATTTTAAATTCACAGGATCTCATCTTTAAAGTTACTGATTCAATCGTGGAGGGGTATTTTTTCATTGAATAAAACTGCCAAATTAATTTTAATTTCATGAATTTAATTTCACAATCCCTCCAATAAAACTGCCAAATTATGAAAATTAAAGGAAAAAAAATACAATTCTCCCAACCAGAAACCTCGTAATAATATAGAAAAGAAACAAGTCTCCTATAATGGAAATCCGCTATAGAGCTACCCAGATCCTGTACTTTCGCACCTTATTTATCAACAATGTTGAAAGAAATGAAATAGCCTTCTGTACAAAAGAAATTGCTGTTAATCAATTACAAATAAAAAGGGGAGGGAAACTCCCCAATTGATTGCAACAATGGCCTCCAGTCTGAATCAAAACTCTCCATTCTCACCTCATATTCTTGGGGAAGAAGCAAGGGTCTTTTTCAAGAATCAATCTTTATCTAGGTATTCTATTGAAAGGCTCATATGCTCATTGTAAAGATTCATTTTCTTCTATTTTCATTCACCATTTGTATGATTTATCCTTCATTTTCCTATCTGATTGATTTTTGTTAGATTGGGTTTCTTCTCTGCAAATTTCCCATTTTGTAGAAAAGCATTGATGGTGGGTTTTGATATCTTTGCATGCTAGGTTCCAATGTTTGAAGGTAATGTGTTTTTCCTCATTCAGGTTGTGTTTCTCCCGTGTTATTGACAAGCTTACAAGGTTATAACCTTAACCCATAGAGTCTCATCTCTTTGGGATTAAAAAAAAAAAAAAAAGGTTAGGTTTTTAGTATTTGAATTAGAACCTGAACTCTAGGTTGTTAGGGGTAGTGAAGGATGGTAGTCAAAGACCGGGGGGGCGTCTTAGGCCTATTTGTTTTGGTGATTTTGCTTGGGTTTGTGAAGAATGGGGAAGCTTTAGCTCATGCACATACTCTCTTGATAAATTGTGGTACAAATGAAAATGTTACTCTTGATGGTGCTCAATGGGTGGGCGATTCGGCCCCTAACAAAAATATAACTATCAGCACTTCTCATACTATTGAGGCCGCCATTTCCTCGATTGATGGCAATCCTGCTTACGAGTCTCTTTACAGAACTGCCAGAATATTTTCAGAACCTCTGAACTATACAATTCATGGAGCACCCGGGAATTATTTCCTTAGGCTTCATTTCTATCCCTTTAAGATTCTGAACTTCGATCCCGATCAGTCTTACTTTGGTGTCGAGACTTGTTGTTTCACATTGGCTTCCAGCCTCAATGTCCCATATGCTATTTCGCAAAAGAATGCACACGCTTCTGGGAGGAATTCTAGCTTTATTGCATTAGTGAAGGAGTATTATATTCCTGTTCAGACCAATTCTACTGTTATTACCTTTCTGCCAGATAAAGGATCTTTTGGTTTCATTAATGCCATAGAGATTGTCCAAGTCTTTGATAAGCTGTTTGTTGATTCTGTTAAGCAAGTGGGTGGAAATGGTGCGGATGTTGGTTTGGATTTGCAAAATCGTGGGATTGAGACTATGTATCGATTGAATATTGGGGGTACAATGATCAAACGTGATCAAGATTCAAGCTTTAGGAGGAAATGGGAAGAGGATTGGAGCTATATGATCAACCCGGATGCTGGAACGCAATTAAGAAACACATCTAGAATTACTTATGCTTCCCCAAATGATACATCCCTAGCTCCACTTGTTGTGTATGAAACAGCGAAAACTATGACCAACATTACTTTAGTAGTAATGAGATTCTTTAATATGTCATGGAGATTGCCCGTGGATCCAAGTTTTGATTATCTAATCCGCTTACACTTTTGTGAGCTAGTATACGATAAATCAAGTCAACGGATTTTCAGAATCTACGTAAATAATAAAACTGCAGCAGAGAATGTTGATATTTTCACAAAAGCGGGAGGAAGGGACAAGGCATACCACGAGGATTACGTTGATGCCATGACCTCAAATTCGAACAACCTTTGGGTGCAATTGGGCCCCGAGGCGGCATCAATTGATCAAGGCTCTGATGCTGCATTAAACGGTTTAGAGATTTTCAAGTTGAGCCGTGATGGTAATCTTGGGTATGTACCAAACCTTGGGGATGAAAGCAACGGAAAGTCAAATGTGAGATTTTGGTTGGGAATTGTATTTGGGATTGTAGCCATTGCAGGTATTGGTTGGCTGATCATTTGTGTGTGTAAAAAGAAGAGAACTAAAGATGTAAAAGGCAAGAAGAGTTGTGGAAGATCTGGGAAACGGTTCACACTGGCAGATCTCAAAGCAGCAACGAACAACTTTGATGACAGCTTGGTGATTGGAGTGGGAGGTTTTGGGAAGGTATACAAAGGAGAGCTAAACGATGGGATTCTTGCAGCGATTAAGCGATCGAATCCACAATCTCAACAAGGCCTACTAGAATTTGAAACGGAAATTGAACTGCTATCGAAGCTAAGGCATAGGCATTTGGTATCAATGATTGGATTCTGCGATGAGCAGAACGAAATGATATTGATATACGAGTACATGTCGAATGGGACTCTGAGGAGTCATCTTTTCGGGGGTGACCTACCATCACTAAGCTGGAAGCAAAGACTAGAGATCTGCATCGGGGCTGCTAGGGGGCTGTATTATCTTCACACAGGATCAGAGGGTGGCATCATTCACAGGGACGTAAAGACAACCAACATACTACTAGATGGAAGGTTTGTAGCGAAAATGTCAGATTTTGGGCTGTCCAAGAGCGGGCCTTCTTTGGAGCACACACATGTTAGTACCGCAGTGAAAGGAAGCTTCGGATACCTTGATCCCGAGTATTTCATGAAACAGCGCCTTACTGCCAAATCCGACGTTTACTCTTTCGGTGTAGTGATGTTTGAAGTTGTGTGTGCACGGGCTGTTATAAACTCGTCTTTACCATTGGAACAGATTAATCTTGCAGAATGGGCAATGGTTTGCCAAAAGAAGGGAATACTCGAAACCATAATCGATCCATCACTCAGGGGGAATTATTCTCCAAAATCATTGAAGAGTTTTGCAGAGATTGCTGAGAAATGTCTTGCAGATGAGGGGGTGGCCAGACCAACTATGGGAGAGCTTTTATGCCATTTGGAGTATGCTTTACAACTTCAAGACTCTTGGCTCAATCCTAACGATGCCGGTTAACCCTTTTGTTTTCATGCTCCTCTTCATCACAACACGACCAATAACCTCTACCTGTAAATAATATGTATTCAAGATAGAGCATTTTGTGTAAAGGCAAACGTTATTCAAAATCTCTTGTTCAATTCAAAATAAGTGTCTACAACTTAGTGAGGGGATTAGTCCGATGGTGAAAATTCTGGATACACTCTAAAAAAAATTTATTCAAAATATTCAAATTAAAACTTGAAATTTGAGTCAAATTTAAATTTTGAGTAAACATTAATTATTGTTCCATATACTTTTATTTTGATTTGATATAAATTCAGTTTAAATATCAAATGTTTTAAATGTTATTAATATCCAATTTAAAAACTCAAATTATATATTATTATTTATTAAATAATAAATGGAAAATTGCTCCTTTAGTCCTTGAGTTATAATCAAGTTCCGACTCAGTCCCTACGTTATGGTCGTATTCGAGTTTAGTCCCTCAGTTATGAGCGAAATGACAAGTTTGGTCCCTAGCGTTAATATTCTGTTTGCAGCTAACGGAAAAATTAAAAACAATTTAATAATAGAGGGGTAAAATAGGAATTTCAAATTATAATCTCCTTCTTATATATGTTGAAACCCATTGCGCAACAATCATTTTTTTTTATACCTACAATCAAAGGTCTTTTTATTCTCCAAACTCTGAAATCTCAAATTCGTCCACTTCTAAGCTACGAAATTCACAGGTAAGTTGTTTCTCTATTTTATATGTTTAAATAAATAATCAATATTTTCCGTATTATGAACTAATTTAGCCATTAATTATAGGATGTCATCTCTTAGTTGAGGTACTTCATCTTTCCCTCAATTTCGGGATAATTTTTTACGTAGATGTGATGATTTATTACCCTTCAAAATGTCATGGAGTTATGCTAATCGAGCAATCGAGGGAAAAGATACCAAGCTTGTCCATGTTATGGAGCAAATTTTTGTATTCGTCAAAAAATTGTAATTTAAGTTATTTTTTATAAATAGAATTGAAATATTGAAATTTAATTTTTTAAAAAAACGGGAGTAGGGTTTATTCCCTGATTACATAAGCAACTTTGGGCTTTTTTCAATTTGAGAAAAAGTATTTTGGCTAAGTTTACAAGTTTTATTAAGGAATTTACTTCTTTATCCCTGAAATTAACTTTGTCAACACACTACTAGCGTCAGGTAGCAAACTCGCCACTTCTCTCAAAACTAAGGAACTAAAAATGAATACAGTAATAACACAAGAACTGAGTCGTCACAACGGTTATAACTCAGGGACCAAACTCGCCATTTTTCCAATAATAAATAGTAAATCTATTCCATAATAACACTATTTTAATATCAAATAATGAAATGGATATAAAAATATCTATCTACAATTAATAAAAAATATATATAACTTTGTCTTTTTTTATATACACCTAAGTCCTAAACTAACCAAAAATAGTTTCACTTTAAACATTATATATTCAAATTTCTTATTCAACCCAAATATCATGTTTAAAAAATATCACTAAATATATTAAAATATCAAAAATAAAAATCAAATATCACTCAAAGGTACCCCTAAGATGAAAGTCATGCTGCTAAGACTTTGTATGTCAATTGTCAAATATTGTCAATTCCAAAATGTTCGAAATCAAAAATTCATTCAAAAATCACAAATACTTTTTTATTAGGCATAATTTCAGTTTAGATGAAATTATGCAAAGTCAAATCAAAATTATACGAATTCTCTATTTAGATTTTTAACATATTAAATTGTAATCACATATTTTAAATCAAAACTATTCAGTAATGATTCCAACTGATATACATATACACACACATTAATTATATATTACTATATATACATGCATTTATTATGATTACGCAATAGATATCCTCACAATTCACAAATTTTCAATGCAAAACTATAGAACTTAAAGCTTAAAGTTATGCATTTGTATTTATTACTATTTTTATGCATTTTTTAAGTTCACCCATAAACTTATATTCATTATATGTATAAATTCACCGATCAAAATAATATTAAAAATATATATATTCAAATTATTACATGTATGAATTCACCGATCAAAATAATATTAAAATATATTTAGATGAGAAATATAACGTCACATATTTGCCGGAGGTATTTCCGGGAAAAAGAAAATCAACAATGATTTACGTATTTCTTATAGTTGACCTTGATTGACAAGAACTAGAAGTCGCAAGAAATTTCTGTATCTATATTATATGTATATGTATGTATGTATACTCACCTCTCTTTCCATTGTATATAACACTCAGATATCTATCGGATACGCTCACCAACCTAACGTCGCGCCGTAGCGGAAGCAGTAACTGCCTCTCTCTCTCTCTCTCACACACACACACACACACATAGAGGTCTGGCTCTCTCTCTCTCTCTCTCTCTCTCTCTCTCTCTCCCATTTTTGTCTGTATATTATGTTTCGTTAGACGTGTACATGTGTTTGTATGAATGGTTCTGTTGGAATTTTCTTTTTAAATTTTTAAATTTGGTTTGGTGTGCAATTTCTACTGTAGTTTGTCTGCGACTGCTTTTCTTCGTTAAGAATTGTGCTGTCCGTTGAAGTTTATGTATTGTTCTTCATAATAACGTGGGGAGTTTAGTTTAATGAGTAATTGAAGTATGATTTTTAGGTCTAGGAAGAGCTATTGGTTTTTGAATTTTGTTCTGGGAGTCTTTTGTGAGTGGATTGTTGACCGTTTCCTGAGTTTTGTGATTAGGTTTGTCTTGTAGTTGTTGCTTTAGGTGTTGTAAATTTCTGCGTCAAGACTGCCATTTGTAATTTGTTTCTCATTAGTCATTCCCTTAACGGCATAACCTGTGTCTCCCTGCACCCGGGTATTCGTTGTGTAGTGCTTTTTCTCTGAGCATTTTGTTTCTCTTAGATTAAGGAGGCTATAGGAATTATGGGATCTTTATGCCCTAAAATAAAGAAAAAATCTAGGTTCTGTCTGATAGATGGTAAAGATTGTTTTGGTGCGATTACTTGAAACACATTGCAGAACTTTATATCAAATCCCTAAATTGAATAATGTGGGCTTCTTACAATACATTGCAAATACAACTTGAAGCATACAAATTCTGATCATTGCATTAACATTCTTGACCAGTTGCATTCACAAATAGTGGAAATATCAATTATCAGCTTGTAAACTGTGGAATGAAACAAAATTTCTAACTTTGGAGCTTTAAAAGTCAATAGGATGAAGAAGAATGACTCAAAATGACACTTTGTATTTAATAAGTTTAAAGAAAGAGCAGTTTTATTAAAACATGTTTCTAAACCAATAATATGTTTCTAAATGAAGATCCATTGTTGTTGAGTAAGATTTGCCTTCTACATTTGTTACACCATGCTCCTTAACAACTAGGCTATGGGGAGCTGTTTGGAGTGTTTCACTACATTCTTTGCTTATACTGTTGTATGTCCTGCTTTATGTATGCACCACTTCATGTATGCATGTTACTTCGATTTCATGTTTTGGCTTCAGGCCTATTAAGTATTAACTAAGAAAAGCTAAAACATCGCAAATAGTTGCTATTTTAGCCAAAACTTTTAATTGTTGCAATGTGTCACAGGCTAAAACTTCTAATTTTAGCCAAAACTTCAGCTGGAATTGCAACTTGTCATGAAGACTTATTTATTTATTAGTAGGCCTTATTTTATCATATGAACTTTACTGGTTTCTTCTAGGGTTGGCAATGGATACTGGAGGCAATTCATTACCATCTGGACCAGATGGGAAGAAGCGAAAAGTTAGTTATTTCTATGACCCAGAAGTTGGGAATTACTATTATGGTCAAGGTCACCCAATGAAGCCACACAGAATTCGGATGACACATGCTCTTCTTGCACACTATGGGCTATTACAACATATGCATGTTGTGAAGCCCCTTCCTGCTAGAGATAAGGATCTTTGCAGGTTTCATGCGGATGATTATGTTTCTTTCTTGAGAAGCATTACTCCAGATTCACAACAAGATAATATTAGGCTGCTGAAGAGATTTAATGTTGGTGAAGACTGCCCTGTTTTTGATGGCCTCTACTCTTTCTGTCAAACTTATGCTGGAGGTTCTGTTGGTGGGGCAGTGAAATTAAACCATGGACAATGTGATATTGCAGTGAATTGGTCCGGTGGGTTACACCATGCAAAGAAGTGTGAGGCTTCTGGTTTTTGCTATGTGAATGATATAGTGCTTGCCATCTTAGAGCTCCTCAAAGTGCATGAGGTTGGTTTATGATATTTCTGCTACCCACAAATTTTTCTTAATGCAACTGAATTTGAATCATGATTTTTGGGAGAGCACGAGTCAATTTCTAATTGTTGTGCAGGTTTTTGTGCTTTCACATTAGTTACTGGAACTTTTTCCTTCATGCTTCTCCTTCTTTTAAGAAAGTGTTATGTAGACATGATAAAAGCAGTTTCATATGTCAAGATTCCATTAGGCATTTCTGGACTTCTGGTAAACTTACAGGCAATTTTATTTTATCCAGCACATTGATAGGCAAATAAGGTCTAAAAAATTAAAGCTTAGACTTCTCTAGATTATTAAAGATCTCTTACAATTTGAAATAAATAAATGGGTTCAGTGTCTATGTATACAAAATTTCTGTATTCTTTTGGTGAAATTGACTTCTTGGCATTTTCATGACATATGCGTATATTGAATTTAATTTTTAAAAAGTAAATCTTATACATTATAGTCAAAAAGAACCAAAGTCTTATGCTTTGCGTGGTTATTTTTTTTTTTTAAACGGGTTTTATCCTTTGCATGCTTTTATTAAGGTGTGGTGCTTTGCTTATGGCAATCTGATTTCACATATAGACCTTGTTCTTTCATATGTTTTCAATTTTCCATTCACAATCTTGACCAAGCTCAGTTTTGTGCTAAAAGATGCTCATTAGTTTGTAACCATGATTGCACCTAGTATGTGGATTTAGCCAGATCTGCTAGGATAACATTTTATTTATTTAAAATTTCCATCATTTTTTAATGCAAGAAGTCTTTGTAGGCTTTTATATATGGAAAACTTTGATCATTCATCAATGTTGTCCTTGGCTTCGAGTTGCATTGATTCCTCATTTTTTTTTGGATGACAAGGGAAACCCCACAACCTTATGATTCCTCATTTAAGTTTGTGATGAATAAGCTTACAGTTACTTGAACTTGTAATGTTATAGGGCTGAGCCTCATCCACCGTGAAGCTTTGACATATTATTACTTAAAGATTTATGACCCGTACTAATAGCTTACATTTTTATTTCACTTGTTAACTAATAATTTTATATGACAAATTCCTATCAAATAGCTTTATTATAGTATCTACAGCAGTAATCCGGGTGTATCCTTGCCCATCAAAATGACCTTAGCTGACCTAAATATACACACCTCATTTCTAGTGTTGTATTTACTGTTCACAAAATATCTTTTCTAAGAGCTAAGCTGTAAGATGGATTTATTCTATATATGTTACATACTTACATATTAATAATTAAGTTTCTTTTCTATATATATTTTGAATCTTGACGTACTAATAATCCACTTCTTGCAATTTCTGGCAGCGAGTCTTGTATGTAGACATTGATATCCATCATGGTGATGGTGTTGAAGAGGCCTTCTATGCTACAGACAGGGTCATGACGGTTTCATTTCATAAATTTGGAGATTATTTCCCTGGGACTGGGGATATAGGTGATCTTGGATACGGGAAGGGAAAATATTACTCTCTTAATGTTCCATTAGATGATGGAATCGATGATGAAAGCTATCAGATGCTATTTAAGCCGATAATGGGCAAAGTGATGGAAGTTTTTAAGCCTGGTGCTGTAGTGCTGCAATGCGGTGCCGATTCATTGTCCGGAGACAGGTTGGGTTGCTTTAATCTCTCAATAAAAGGGCACGCAGAGTGTGTCAGATACATGAGGTCTTTTAATGTACCGTTGCTGTTGCTGGGGGGAGGTGGCTACACAATACGCAATGTGGCTCGTTGCTGGTGCTATGAAGTATGATTCTTTCTGCTTAATTAATTTGAAATACAAGTAAATACAAGAAAATTTAAATGATGAAAATCAAAGAAATTAGGAGATGTATATGCTCATATAGTAAATATTCAATGCTTATAATGCTAAGATGAAAAGAAGTTCGAAAAAAGAAATTACTAATTAAGTAGTTAAGTGTAGGGATTGGAACTTTTGCCTCGTGTTTAGTTGTACTGTAATTATTAAATGGTAGGTATCATAACTAATATCAGTGGATATGAGTATATGCATGCTTTTTGTTAAACAATGGATTCATGTTTCTACAGACTGGAGTCGCACTTGGGATGGAACTTGAAGACAAAATGCCACAGCATGAATATTACGAGTACTTTGGCCCAGATTATACTCTTCATGTCGCTCCTAGTAACATGGAGAACAAAAATTCTCGTCAAATGTTAGAAGAAATGAGAGCAAAGCTTCTGGATAATCTCTCAAAACTTCAGCATGCACCGAGTGTGCAGTTCCAGGAGCGGCCACCCGATACTGAATTTCCAGAGGTAACTTCCACCCCATCTTTTTAAGGTCTGCATAAGTCGGCTTCCTTCCTTTAGAAACTTGACATTGGTCATTCTGGCTTAAGCAACACCTCGTTTTTGGCACATAAAGCAAATTACTTATCTAATTCGTCATCTTGTATGTAGTGCACACTAGCAAAAGACTTCAGAAATGAACTAACCATGCTAATAAAGCCTTCTTCTTAGCCTTTCACAAACAGTTCATTTGAGCTTATTGTATTTAGTGAACAATAATTTGTTAATTTACATATTGTTTTACCACTAATCTTCAGGCCGATGAAGATCAGGATGTCAAAGATGAAAGGTGGACTCATGATTCAGATGTAAAGGATGACCTGCGGTACATCCTAATTTCATTTGCTCTCCATTTCTGTTTCTTTTTTCCCGCCTTTTTTAGTTAATGGAGTTCCGCTGATCTCTGTTTATTTTACTTTCCACATATACAGAAAGGCACTATCAGGGCGAGTTAAGAGGGAGATTCTTGAACCTGAAGCCATGGGCACTGTACGTATCGTTGATCTGCACTTTTGAAATTGAATGCTTCTTGTAAAGTCAAGAACACGGCATGAATCATTGTATGATGATAACCTTCATTTCCTTTGAAATGTTCAGGATGATATGCAAATTGACGAGCGCCCTAGGGAACTGGAGTCGACATTCATAGATTCAAAGGTGTTACTTCGTATGCCCATCTTTTCTTAGGTGATATTTTAACAGACCAAACAATTTACCTTGGATTTTGTTGTTGCTCAGGGTTCAATAGCAGCAGCAGTAGCAGAAGCCCAAATGCAAGGAAACTCTAACAAGCCCTTTGATCAACCAGTGGATATGAACTTGTGAGAAGGGGCCATTGGAGCGTATCTAAATAGATACTATACTATGTTTCCATATCTAAATAGATACTATGTTAACACCAATAGTATGTTGTCTTTTTTTTTTTTTTTTTTTTTTTTTTTTTTTTTTTTTTTGAAAACAATTAAAATGATACTGTACTGGATGGATGGTCACATTTTTATGGGATATAGAGAATATGCGTCTTATGCTCTAATGATTGTATGCTGATATATTTAACATTCATAAAGCCTGTAGACACAAGGAGAGTCACCTTGGTTTTGGTAGGTTAATTATTTTGAACACTGATTAGTTTTTTTTTTTTTTTGAAAGGAGCCTGTACGCATTTATTTAAAATATGCAGAAATAGATACTGGTGGATCATAGTCCGAGTACATACTAGTCGATTGAGTAATTGCAGTAGATGCTAAAGTATGAGCTAAATAATTATCTAGTCTAGGAACATAATGAAGCAAACAATAATAAAAAGATGATATACTAGTCCTGCAACTATCAATGGCATAACCCAAGTAAGATCTTGACGAGTGTGTCATAGATGATAGATATTGTTGAAGCACCAAACAATCCGTGAAGAGCTCGATTGACTTTATTTCGCGACTTCTTAACCACGACAAAACTTCCTTGCAAGCAAAAGCCTCCGCCATTAGGGGCGAAAAACAATCTATCATAGGGGCAGTCATAGCCGAAACATAATCTCCTTGCCAATTTAGAATAATGGCTCCCACCGCTGCTTTGTTTGTCCGTGGGTCGTACGCCGCATCGAAGTAGCATTGATCCCTCATGTTTTGAGTGGCTTGGTGTATCATGCTTGGCGTTGGCGGCTGTGGTGTAGGCGGTACGGCAATAGCATTGCTTGTTGATGAGTGAACTGCCGTAGCAGTATGGTTGTCCACCACAGCAGCAGTTCGGCTGCTTGATGCCACGGAGATGGGTGGCGGACGCAGACCGGGATGGGCTACTTTCCAAGCATTCACAGTTGATGATGCCATTGCAATTATCTTTCGAGGTCTGGGCAAGGTCGCATCCCATACAGCCCCATTCCTTACACGCCAAATATAATATAAAAGTGCCACTGCATAAATAATTCCATCATCATCTAAAATATTCATCAAATCATTAAACCAATCACTGAAAATATTTGTGACACTATTGGGGATTGGAAGGTGGGATTGTACCCAAATGTTTGTCGTATAATCACATGTGATCAAAGAATGCACAATATCTTCATGTCCAATTCCACACATGGCACATGTTGGATCAATATCAACTCTCTTTATAAGTAGGTTCCTCGTAGTGGGTAAAATATCATTTAGAGCTCTCCACAAAAATGTTTTCCACTTTGGTGGACTTTAAGCTTCCATAATATTTTCCATTTATCAAAGGTCCCAACCGCGGGTGTAGTTACCTACTACTGCTCTATAGCCACTTTTAACAGAATATTCTCCTTTTGGGTCCCCATACCAGTACCACAAATCTTCATAATCTGGTGACACAGGGGGTATTTTTAAAATTCGCTCTACATCCTCAGGTTCGAAAATATCGATAAGAATATCCTGATCCCAGGTTCCTGTCTGTTGATCCATCAGTCCCATCACCTTTGCCTGTGCCAATTGGGGAGGTTTTTCTGTTAATATTTTCGATTGACTCACGTCATGCAATCATGGATGATCCCAAATCAAAGTTGATTTGTCATTCCCAATTCTACGTCTAACTCCTCTACAAATCAAATCTTGTGCCGCCAAAATACTGATTAGTTATTATTCCTAATGAATAATATTGTATTACTAGTAATGCAAAACATTGGACATGGATCCAATTTTAGATACTCAATACGATACAAAAATAATGAGTTTGAATTTAGTTTTATTGTGTCTGAGTCATTAATGTATTGACATAATAATGAAATGCATTACTATCAATAGGCCAATAGAGGTCCTGTATAAAATTAATTTTAATATAAATAATTGTATAATTTTAAGGTAATTTGTTAAAACAAATAATAAATTATATGTTCAAATAAATAGATAATTCATACGAAATTAATCTAATGTTTAAATTTAAATACACTTAATAGTTTATATATATATAGGCTTAACTAAAAAAAAAGTGTCAGTTTTATAATTATTACAAACACATTAATTGTAATAATAATAATTATAAAATTGATATTATCATTTTTCTTTTGTCAACAATCTTGGATCGTTGACCTACCCAAATGAGCATGACATGAGTTCTTATTTTTTATTTGGTAGCATGTTCTCACCTAAACCCTCCCTTATACGATTTAAGGTTACTAAAAAATAAAAGAAAAAAGATGAAGTCAATCTTATAAATATTACAAACTCGAAAGGAGCGGAATTATATCATTTATACAATGTATTTATACACTTCTTTTTAACAATGTTCTAGATATTTTATTAATTTATTGTATTAGTATAAAGTTTTTAAAAAATTACAAATTATTTATACAATATAATATAATAACTATTAAAACACTTTTAAAAATATCTATAAACTAGGCTGGCCTAAAAAATTAAAGCCCACATGTCGATATTGCAATTGGGCAAATTATGTTGTGCAATCGTCTGCACTAAAACGATATCATTTGAAATTATAGAAAAAAAAAAATCTTTTTTCATTGCCGTTAACGGCGTTGAGCGGTTTCCTTTCGCATTCAAACATTTCATTATCTCTTCGCAATTGCACACTTTAGAAATTATGAAGTTACTGTATTTAAATTATGAATCTACAGTATAAAAATTATGACTTTACATTGATAGATTTGTGAACATGTGATAGAGCTATATGTTCATAATTATAGAGTTATATGTTTATAATTATAGAGCTATATGTTCATAATTTTTTATGTTCATATTCTCAATTGTTGAACTCTGTATTCACAAATCACATAACTATATGTTCATAATTTGATAGGTATACAGTTTAGAAATTATGAATCTACAGTATAGAAATTATGAATCTATAGTACAGATATTATGAATATGTAGTATACAAATTATGAATCTACTGTATAGAAATTAAAAATTTACGGTTTAGAAATTATGAATGTACAGTATAGATTTTATGAATCTACAGTATAGAAATTATGTATTGGAACCGTGCGCACCTTGCACAACATAACGTTCCTTGCAATTGTTATGTCGTGGAACCGTATCCACCTTACAAGGTGGACAGGGTTCTATGTTCATAATTATAAAACTCTATGCTCATAATTATAAAACTCTATGTTCATAATTTTTGAACTTCATATTCATAATTATTGAACTCTATATTCACAATTACAGAACTCTATGTTCATAATATTTTAACTTTATATTCACAATTATTGAACTCTATGTTCATAATTACAGAACTATATGTTCATAATTATAGAACTATATATTCATCATTTTTGAACTCTATATTCATAAATATGAACAGTTTCAAAATCGTGTCCACCTTGCAAGTTGGACACGGTTCCACAACATAATCATCAATCGTTATACCGTGCACCAGGGTGCACATAGCACTGTGCGCCCCGCGGCTCCAAAACGACGTCGTTTTGTTATGTTGTTAAAAAAAAATCTCTTGTTTCGAATGCACATAAACTCATAACAGAATACACATAATCTAACATAATACATAATACACATAAACTCATAACACAATACACATAAACTTTTAACTGAATACATATAATGGGTTTGGTTAACATAATACACATAAACTCTTAACTGAATACACATAAACTCATAACACAATACACATAAAATTTTAACTGATTACACATAATAAGATTTGGTCTATTCGAATAGACGAAGGGACATCAGCATGAAACGCGCGCGTTTTGTGCCTGGACACAAATTACTATGTACGTCGTGGTACACGAAATTGCCTATAATCATGTACCATAGTACATAGTAAAATTTGCCACTTAAAACCCGTTAAACATGTCATGCCAACCTGTTACCAATTTGTGTTTGTATTCGTGTATGAAATATAAACTTGTTAATTAAGCTTAGAGGGTAATATTCGTGAATGGCCCAAACACATTAATACCTTACCTATACACAACATGAAACATTGAAACATGAATTGCCAAGCCTATACTAACTTAGTTTTTCGCTATCCAATTTGGCTCACATTCGTTTCTCTATCTTTTTGGACTTGTACTCGAATAGCTCATATCAGTTTCAGCTCTCATGCGTCACCATACACTCGCCATCCCCCTTACATCCTTCTAATTGTCACAACCAATTCAACTCTCACCTTTACAGGTAACTTAATTGATTCTCAAGTAACAAATTACATCTAAAAACACAAAATTAAATTTTAACAGTCACAGTGTGTGATTTTTACCCTATTGTAAAAGTGACTCTTTATGGACACGATACTTTAGGTACTAATCTTCCCACCTAAGAGATTATTAAGTCGCAATGATTTAACTCTTCCACAATTTTACCCTTTTACACCCAAATTAAAGTTAAGAAACATATTTAATTTAATCAAATTAAAATTCCATCCCTTATCATGTCATCATGATTGCGCAATAAACAAAGGTCTAACATTAATGTTCAGCTAAATTATCATGATTTATATCCTCACATATGTTCTATTGAGCTGAAACGTGAGGGGTCCTTGAAATTGGGAATTCAACCAGAACAACAATGATTCAAACACTTGCCTATAGATAATGATGACCGTAATTGCCCCTATTAATTAAGAAGCTAGCTAACTAGGTTAATGCTCCTCAGAAAGAGTTTCATGTTTGCATTTAACCCAACATACTTAATATTACTCAGTTGACTTAGCTTGCAAACAATAATGTAAACATTTCAACTGATCGACTTTTACGGGCAACCGAATTCATGATGACAACAACTATAGTAATTATTGGTCATTGTCGGATTACAACTCATAATTACCAAAACTAAGAAAATGAAAATAAACAAACAAATAAATAAATAAAAGCACCGTGTCAAAAGTAATAGTCAATAAGAGATTGAGCAATAATAATGTCCAACCGTATGTTATTTTTATTTATTTATTTTATTTTTTACTTTGATTTTATAT